CATAAAAGAATGATGATTTGTGAAGGAAGTCTTAGATGGATGATGTAATTGATTGGTAGTTGTTTGAATCATTAATTATGGAGTTTAATAAGAGTTTTAAGCTTGTGAATTGTTGAAAAATCCTTTGATTTCATTGATGTGCAATTCGGCCATATTGGAAAAATTAGGGGAAAATGATATAAATTGTGTTATGGCTTGATGGAAGGTGTATGGATATACCGGTGAATTGGTTGAAAAATTTATTCTAGTGATGGAATTGGTTTGTTGAAATTAAAGCACAATTGGTAATACTTTGGGATTTAATGGCCGTGAGCTAGAGTTTTCTGAGAGTTGTTGTTTATGTTTGCTTGTGTATTCTCAAGCATGTGATTGATCATATTGTGGTATGATCATTGTAGTTGACTCTCTTTGAGCCAATCTTGAAGGACTAAGCTTTGGAAGCTTCTCTCTGTTGGTTTGTGAAATTGCTTGTGGAACTTTTTACAGGTAAACTTCGGTATGTTCTGGGGTTAGTCCCTTTGTGTGCACCGCTATGTCCTTTGGGAATGGTTAGATTTGTAATCTTTGATAATGTGTGATAGAATATGATCATGCATTTTTACCTGATGTTTGACATGCGTTTTGGCTTGCTGTTTGACATACATTTTGGCATGTTGTCTGATATATGTTTTGATATATTAGTATCTCTAGCCAGTAGATAGATTTATGGGAGCTCCACTGGATAGGTCTCCGTGGAGAGTTCTAGTCGGGTTTTGCCGTAGTGCTCTCTTTGTTTTGGGAGAGGTACTAGGAATGTCTCGGGAGTTATGAATGGTAGTTTTATATAATATTCTTGTTTGGATGTTCTTGGTTTGTTTGCTTTGTGATTGTTGTGATATCGTATGTCATATTGTTCATATGTTTATCATTACATGCACATTGAGTGAGCCATTGGGTGGAGTGACCCTCCAGGACCCGTGGTTAACTGAGATTGTCAAATCAAATCTCACCTCACGTTATGGGGCATTTTTTTCAGGTGCCACTAGTGCTGCTGGAAAAGCCTTGGGCAAGAAGCTCACTTAGAGTGGATATGAGCATAAGGAGTATTTTGACATGTACATAGGAGTACATGGAACTTAGAGTGGAACGTCTAAAGTTTTTAAAACAATTAGGGATATTTGTGTACCTAACAGTGCAGTTTTGACAGTTTTAAGGAAGTAACTTGCGACGAGCGTATCTGAAGTTGTAGAACTCCAATTGGGACGTGTCATACCTTGTTAGAAAGGTAAAAGAATGCAGAATAACATAACAAAAGATGAGAATTTATGGACCAGTAGTCCATGTGAAATTTTGGAAAAACTGAATGTACCTTGAATAGGTAAATAATCAAATTGTGTATTTGTGCTTCGTTGGTTTATGGGAACCACTTAGCAACTTTAAATGGATGTTCTATGATATTAAGCAATAATATTTGTGGTTCCGCAATAGTTTTGAGTTGCAATTACATTTTTGAGAAATGTTTATTACGAACGTTTTATAAACGTAATGATTTTGTAAACGATTGTAAAAAGAGAAAGTTTTACCATAAATTTTAAATGAATTGTTGTGATTGTAACTGCGCTTAATATTGTAAATAATGATAAAATGACCGGATGCATACGGGGTGTTACATCTGATGTGCCTCAAATAGACTTACATTCTATATGTGCGTTTATTGTGCATCTTCTATTTATTAAGTTTATTTTCTAACATGGAAGCGGCCTCAACATGACCATTGCTAGTAAATCATTCTTATCAAGTATTAAATAAAACATATATTTCCTTTTTATCAACCAACACTTCTTTAAACTCATTATCTAAGGGTGTAAAAGTCAATTCCATTTCCAGTATTCTTAGTTAGGGTGGAAATTTTCAACACGACCCATTGACATGACACAAACACGACATAAAAAATTTGTGTTTGGGTTTACCCATTTTCAAATTTGTGTCATGTTCAGGTTGAAAAAAGTTAACCCAAAAAAATGTGGTGTCGCGCGTCAACCTGCTAACCCAAAATTGACTCGCATTCTTCTTCTAGGTTATTTGTGTTATGTCGTAGACAGATTATTCATGTCTTATCATATCGTGTCAACCAGCATAATAATTAACACAGTTTGGGGTTGATAGGTTATTCGTGTCGTGTCGTATAGTGTCAACCCGCATTAAAAGTGATACACTATGAGTTTGCGAGTTATTCATGTCGTCTCATGTCAACCCGCAAAATATACGGATCATGATTGTGTAGAAAGTTTTGATCTGATTTTAAATTCATGTCGTGTTCGTGTTGAATGTATTTGTGTTTATGTCGTGTCGACCCAAATTGCCACCCATAAAATATTAGCCTTGCTTTACAAATATTTGATTCGTAGAAATTAATAAATATAAATAAAATTAAATCAAGTATTTGTTTCGATCTAAAAGATTAATTAAGCTGTGACATCTTGTTAATCTCAAGAATATTAGGATCACTTTAGCTATGAAAGCTTGGTAATCTTACACCTCTTTCACTTTTTTTTGAAATGGTTTTCTTATTAATTTGTGCTTATTTTAAAAATTAATAATGCCAATTTTTTTTTTTTGGTAAGCTAATAATGCCAAATTTTGTTAGGAAGAATTAGTGATTAAGAATTTCCATTACAATTGGGTACTAAATAATCAAAATATATATATTTTTATCTTATACTAAATAAATAAAAAACCGTAAGAAAGATTAAATAATAAAATAACTTAATAAAAGACATAAATTTTGTGAACTTTATTTAATATTTTATGATCAGGAAATATTTATTTGCGTTATTATGGATGTTGGTATTAACGAAATTGTGCTAATTAGAAGCAATAGAAAGAGTTCAAAATTAAATATTAATAGCAAAAGTGAAGATTAACTAAGCTACAACAATTTGTTAATTCCATTATTCTTGAGTCATTTTGGTTCTAACAGCATAATGTTTCGAATATTATTTTTAAAAGAAATTATAGCAATAATTAAATAATTATATTTCTTAAAAGTTAAGCATCATCGGGTTTTGGATTGGTTTATAAACTAAAACTGCAAAAATTGATTATCTTTCAATTAAAAAGGATTATCTAAGCTGTGAAGCTTGTTAATGCTACAACTTCTAGAGTTATTTTAGTTGAGACATCTTAATAACTTAAATTTTCTGAATAAATCGTCAATGCTTTGTTCATTTAAGTATTGATTTTGTATAGAAATTGATGCCAAAAGTGCATAAAAAAAAGTGGCTAAATAGAATCTTAGGATTACATGAAAGAGTAACCCTTTGGTTCTCTATTATAATTATCAAAATAACAAAAGGGTCTTAAGCACCCTTTATAGACTAAAGGCATGTTTGGTGTACAAGATAAGATAAGATCTGATAGTATAAGGGTTGATTGTCTAAGGTCTGGTTAGATTTTAATACTATATGACATTTGGCATGATATTGTATAAGATAATATTATTCAGTGTTTGATAATGTATTCTATAATACTAGATAGGATAAAAATAAATATTTTTAAAATTTTCCTTTAATAAAGAATTTATATGATTCTTTCAAATAAGTCATATATGATATTAATTTTTAGAAAAATCTATCTATTAGAATGACACATTGGAATCAAAAATGAGTGAGGCTTAACCTGGAATTCTGAATTAATATTTTAAGGTTAGGCAAATATCTGTACATCTTTGTGGTCTGGAATATTCAGAATTCCAGTGTGTCATTCATTAACATAGGAGAACTTGTTTTTCCTATCTATTAAATTCTTACATTACATTTAACGTTAGGCTTAGCAGATGACTGTTAACAGCATATCATGAGATTAAGTTGACTAGATATTGATAAAAGAATTATTCTTTACAGATAGGCAGAACTTGCCCCCTCAACAAAAACCTATTCTTTAACAAAAATATGTAACGCATTACAAAAATTTCATATTTTTCTTTACAGAGGCAGAACTCACCCCCTCCACTTGATAGAATGCTGATTTTAGCATAATTTTTCTCATGTAATTTAAAATAAAAACTTTGAACTAGTCTCCCTGTGAAATCCAGTTGCTCTTTAATGACTGATCTTGATACAGGTGAAATGGTTATACGATATCAAATACAAACCTTGCAAAAACATGTCGTATCTCTTGCAGGTTACCATGAGCTAAGGACTCGTAATCAACTTTTCTGTCTTGCTTTGAAAAAAATTTCTTATCAGCACTTACTTTCACGCATTTGAAAAAGCTGAATGTTTGTAAGTATAATCCTAATGGGATGAATACCTGTAAAATTGAAATAGGGAGTAGGAAGAAATCAACAAAAATTCTAGCATACTCTCAAGTGTATTACTCTTAATCAGTCAAAACAACGTCGCACAATAATTGAATCTATATCGTCAAATTGTATTAGAGAAAAACCGAGACAATATAGTGTAGCAGAAACTAAAATATGCAAGAATATCCACAAATAAATCATGTTACTCAGAATGCATTGAACTATAATATGTTTGCATGCTTACATAGAAGACCCAAACTCCTAAACAACTAAAAAAAATCATATTTCAAACATCTGGTTGATTTGGCAATTTTAAATGTCTACTAACATAATCGATCATCAAACAAGGAATCCATAAATTACAAAAAGATAAGTTAATTTTCTAGGTAACCACAACTCAATTTCTGATATCTCAATGAAATGGATAATTTACGTGAATTTGATATATATATATATATATATATATATCACTACAAAAAAATCGGCGTACAGCGACATCGATTTAGCTAGCTTTGAATTGAATGTGGCAAATATAAAAAAAAATATAAATAAAAAACAATTGCTAGCGAAGAATCTCTTTCTCTCTCTCTCTTTTTCGTTTCCCTCATTTTTTGTAAAAATATTACAAACATTTATTAAACTCTTGCTTTTTAAAAAAAAATTCTATCTCTCTCTCGTCTTCAAGGTTCTCGTAAATTCGTAATAATAGGTACTCTCTTCCTCTTCTCTGCATCTCTAAATCTAGGGTTTCTTTTCAGCAAAATTTGTAGAACCGATCCATTATCAGCTGTGTTTCTCTTATAGATTCTCACCTATCATTTCAATTTCAAAATCAAAAGAAGAAGAGAAGGCGGTGTTGCACCTCTCTTTCTCATTTTCTCTTCTCTACCTCACGCATCTCAATCTCAGAGGTAATTCAGTTTTTTATTCTTTTTGTTTCTTTCTGCTCGCGAAGATTTGAAATATACACTTTGTAATTTGAATCATCTGCTCTTGTTTGTCTTTTTGAACCCTAATCTCTATGTTCACTTTAGTGTTTGTTCGTCCAAATCTGTTTGTTTCTTTGCAATTTTCAATTTAAGTTTTGTGAGATTTTAATTTTAGTTTCAGATTCTTTGCGACTTGAAAGGTACGCTTAAGTTTTCTTGTTTAATTCAGTTTCAATTTGGTGATAGTCACAAATTTTTTAATTATGAAATGTTGCTTTGCTTTGGGGATTTAAAGTAATTGAACGATGTGTTTCACCATTTTATATGTGTGTGCATTTTGAAAATTTTGAAGAGCTTTTCATTTAACTATTCCCCATGCTGTTTTGGTAAAACTCTTCCTGAGATAATAGTTTTGGCTATTTTATCATCTGCAAAAGATAGAAATCGTTATTTTAAATTTTGCTCTGTTATTTACCTAATCTATATTTTCTTTTGTTGCCAATCCCCAAATGAAAAGTTCGAAAAGAGAATTGAAGATATTCTTATAGTATCAATGACAATAATAGGTTGAAGGAGGAAATTGAGAGGCTTTTACTTGAGGAGGCTGGCTTTCAGAATTGAGTCAATATTCCAGAGGATGCACCAGGAAAGATTTCTTCAAAATCTTTTCCAAGGATCCTAACCTTTTAAATAGGTATTTGTTATTCAAGAGCTTATAAAAAGTGTTAGGCTATTTAATAGATGTTGTAGTTGTAGCTCTGGTACTTGATTTGTTATACAACTTTTAATTATTGTTTAGTTAACTTTTATAGTTTGTTATATATCATTGTTACAGAGAAGAAATTAAAAAAATAGAAAATAGGACTTAGCCAAGGAAAACATAATTATGCACTTTGTACTGGATTCAATTATATATTGTCTACTTTGATTTAATAATCCTTCCTTGTGTTTAAGTCCTGATATTTGCGAGTTATGTTATATACATACTTGAACTGTCATATAAGATTTAAAAGTGCAAATATCTAATCAAGTTCCTTATGTAGGTTATTATAATCATTCATTGTAGGCTCACACAAGATAAGCACGTGATGAGTGTGTTGTATTTTGGGAAGACAAACTATGAGTTTCCTTTATGCGTGAGTCATATAAATAATTGAGTTTTTGCATCCTATATTAATTTGTTTAATATCTTATATTTTTAACCTTCGACAATAAATAAATGAGTTGTCTAAGCATTCCATGATACAAAAGAATATTGAGAGCTTAAAGATGGGCTAAACATCAATAATAGAACATAGCAATTTAAAAAATATGGAATTTCAAAATTTGGCATAAATACAGTATATTTTGAAAATTAAGTGCAAATTCATTCTTTTGCATCAAGAAGATAGAGCTCCAAAGATTTAGCCTCTATAACAATGTTGCTCTGCTTTGTGTTTTGTAGGTATTTACGATTTGTTTCTATTTTTATAATTTGTTTCCTATTCTTTATATTTGCTCTATTGTCTTTTACAAGAAAAGTTTGTTGTCTGTGATGCAAATGATTACCCTCTACCTTAAATTTGTACACTAACTTGTACCTTTTACTTTTATTTATCCTCATCACTTGGTATTTTGGAATTTTGCGCTTTTTTTCTGGCCCAAACATAAGATGCAAATCTTTATCCTCTCTCTTAGTTCTTTGTTCACTGCTTGGTTGTCTGAGTGGAAACTGAATTAATAAATCACTCTCCTTTATAGTTACAACATCTTTGTAAAAACATGAGATATAAAATGTTCACTTCTTTATAAGTACAACAAATCTTTATCCTATCTCTTAACTTTTGTAGTTGATATAAAATGTTCAACTCATCTCTTCTTTCTATTTTTTTAAAATAATTATCCTCATTTTTCTGCCTTGTATGCTTATGTGTCTCGTATAATATATGTTGTAGATTCTCTGGATTCAATGGCATAGAGTAAACAACCAAGTGGTGGTGATTAGCAAGAAGACGTATATCAAAAGGTAATATAATATTTTCTTAAATATATATTTCTTCAATAAGTTGAGTTGAACATGAGGAATTTGCAAAATAATCCATAAAATAAAATAATGAAGATTGGTTGCTTATTTTGATTGACTAATAGAATACGAGGAAGAAGGAAAACTTGGAAAAAATTGATAGAACTATTCATTAAGGGAGGGACATGGAGAGGCGATATGATCTAATGATAGGCTTTACATGTTTTGCTTCTAATCGTTCTTTGTAATCTACTTAATTCATGATATAGATCTTGCCCTAATTTGCTTGCTTTCTTGCCGGCATTCATGAGTAATGACTTTCCATTTCTTGAGTTTGTGCTTAAGACATTACTGATTCTTGGTCATAAATGCGAGTAGTCCACAGGTTTGGAAACAACTTAGTAGTGGTTTTTATTTTTTTCTTTCCCTACTTTTCATGGTTAATTTGGAAATACTTCACAGTTCACATTCCATATGCTCCCTCCTTTCCTACTTCCCTTCTTTTCCCGATAATTCTTACTAGTTTTTATGATATTGGAGGTCACATGATCATATTCACTATCTTTTATATGTGACAAGTGCTCACAGATAAACAATTTCTCTAAATTTTATGTAGCCTCTTCTGGTTAATCAATTTTGTTTAATTATGGGTAGTGAAGTTTACAATTCTAAGATCACTGCTAAATGGTAATATTATTTGAATGAATGAGTTAAGGCATTTCATAAGTCATTACCTTGAGATTTCTAGTAACTTAAATTTTGGCAGGCATGCCGAGGAAGCAAAAATTCAAAAGGTGCAGTTCACTAGGTATCAAAACAAGTTGCTCTAGCTTTTCTCAAGCGTACTCTTAGAAGATGTAAAAGATATGAAGAAGCTGGCATTATTTGTTTTAATGAACCTACCCTACAAAATATCTTGTTCGCACCCCCTTCTACTGAGAATGATGCACAACCTACAAACTGCAGTTCTTTTCCAAAATGCAGTTTATTATTTTATTTTTTTAAGAAATGGGGTGACTCAGGCTAATCCTAATTAACTCTCTTTTTTTGTGTATTTATTAACTCTTTCCTTTTATCTGAGAAAAAAAAGAAAGCAAAAAGATCAAATTGTGTATAGCTGTCTGGATGACTCAGGCTAATTCTAATCTTATGTAATTGCCGAATATGTATGGAGTTTCATCCATTTTTTAATGATAAGACATGATTAAATGTATTTGTCTTGTTACCAAGCAATATTGTCTTTGCCTTGTATGTTGCAATAAATGTTGTTTTCGTTAAATTTCAACAAGTAAAAAAGTAGCCACAATATAGTGTGGCTATTTTTTTAAAAAATTTTTTTAACTATTTAAGCCACATTTGAACCGTGCCAAATTTAACTTTAATTGTAGCTAAATATATGCTACCACACTGAATCATAATGTGGCTAAGTAAAACAAATAATGTGGTTAAAATATTGCTACGCCATGATTAGCCACATTTACAAAAAGTGTGGTAGCTTTTGTTTGCCACATTTTTTATGTGATTTAGCCACATTTCTGAATGTGGCTAAAGAGCAATTTTTTTGTAGTGTATATATATATATATATATATGAGGTAAGATCATTTGACACCTCGTCTAAGAGTCATTGGATCAAAAAAGATCAACGGCTCTGATTTGTAAGCATGTGACACCATTGATCTTTTTTTATCCAATGTCTCTTAGATAAGGTGTCAAATTTCAAATTTGACACTGGTGTCTAGGAGTGATAAACGAGTCAGGGATTTTTTGCTCGGCTCTTGAAGGCATGAGCTTATATGTCTAATATTGGTTGTTGGAACCAGACTTGGACTTGTATAAAAGTTCGTTTAGTAAAAAGGCCTCAGGCTCCAATTCAAAAGCTCGGCCTTGAAGCCTCTCAGGTTGGCCTAGTATATATATATATATATATATATATATATATATATATATATATATATATATATATATGAGGCTGGATCTTTTGACACTAGTGTCAAATTTAAAGTTTGACACCTCATCTGAGAGCCGTTAGATCAAAAAATATCAACGACTCTGATTCGTAAGCATCTGACACCTTTGATATTTTTTGATCTAACGGCTCTCAGGTCATGTGTCAAACTTTAAATTTGACACTAGTGTCAAAGGATCCTTCCTCTATATATATATATATATATATATATATATATATATATATATATATATATATATATATTATATTTTTATACTATTTGTAATAGCCCTCTCTCTTCTCTCAATCCATTTCACCCCTGTTTTATTAGTGAAACAGACTTTTTGAATAATTTTGTTCTATATTATGCTGTTTGGATATACATTGAATTTATGAATATTTATGGAATTACTAGTATTGTTGATTGTGTGTTCTATTTGGATAAATTTTTGTTGTCTTATTTTTTTCTAACAGGCTAAATCAGGCTTTTGTTTTTTGTAAATGAGGCAGACCACAGGCCGATAATTATATTCGTAACAGGTAACAGGCTTGGTAAGGCCGACACATTTAAACATAGGCTTAGCCTTTTAAGACCAAAACTCGGCTCGGCTCGGCCTGTTAACACCCCTATTGGTGTCAAAGGATCCTACCTATAGGCAAAAAAATTAATTTATTGCTGTTTTAATAAAAAATTATGAATAAGTAGTCGTTTTGAAATTAATTACGAAAATATAGCAGTGAAACACACCCCATAGGGGCGTGACCGGTTGGAGAGAGACACGCCCAATCTGGGCGTGACCGAGGAGAGAGACACGTCCCATCTGGGCGTGTTTCACCAGGTGCTACCACGTGTCACAAAAGTCAACAGTTTGACCGTAAAACTTTGGAAGTCCATAACTTTTGACTCGGGTATCCGAATTAGGTAATTGTTTTTTTGATTCCACATAACTTTTCGAGATCTACGTAATGACACCTCATTTGGCATATTTTGTCTCTCACAAAAAAAATTTGAATTTACAAAAATAATACCATAAGAACGTTTAAACTCAAATTAATAAGCAGAAAACCACTGTTATGATTAGAAACACTCATAATAAAGATCCTTATGATTATGGTAAGTTATGATAAGGTTAATTATGTATGTTATTGAGATATATATTAAAAATTTGAATGAAGAATTTTATGAAATTTATAATTTTATTCGGTTAACATCTGTCGGTGACAGAATATCGAATAATTTATATTAAAAAGTTAAGTGAATGCTTTTCAGTTTATTTTGATTTTTAAGTTTTTGTTCATGATTATAAAAATGTTAGATTATTTTTAGTAATAATTATAAGGTAAACAAAGTCATGTCATTTTTTCACCAAAAAAAAAAAGTCATGTCATTTTTAATAATTATGGTATCATTTTTAATAATTATGGTATTATTGTAAATTCAAATTATTTTTTTGTGAGAGACAAAATATGCCAAATGAGGTGTCATTACGTGGATCTCGAAAAGTTATGTGGAATAAAAAAAAATTACCTAATTTAGATACCCGAGTCAAAAGTTATGGACTTCCAACGTTTTACAGTCAAATTATTGACTTTTGTGACACGTTGCAACACCTGGTGAAACACGCCCAGATGAGGCGTGTGTCTCTCCTCGGTCACGCCCAGATTGGGCGTGTCTCTCTCCTCGATCACACCCAGATGATGCGTGACTCTCTCCAACTTGGTCACGCTCCATGTGGGCGTGACTCACGCTTATGTCACGCCCCACATGGGCGTGTTTCTCTTTATTGGAACACGCCCCATGGGGGCGTGTTTGACTGCTATATTTTTGTAATTAATTTCAAAACGACTACATTTTCGTAATTTTTTATTAAAAAAACAATAAATTATTTTTTTTGCCCCTACCTATATATATATATATATATATATATATATATATATATATATATATATATATATATATATGGGAAACGTATTTCTATAGCCACTTTAGATAAGGTTATCTACAGCTACCCCTTTTTAACTAAGTACAACCAGTCGTACTTAGTTATAACAATAAAGCTGCTCTTTTTTTCTCTCTCCTCAGACACTGTCGGCTAACATGGCCGAGAGAGGAAATGCACTTTTAATGTACGACCGGTCGTACTTAGTTAAAAAGAGTAGTTGTAGACAACCTTAGCTAAAGTGGCTGCAGAAATGTTTTCCCTTATATATATATATATATATATTATGTTTCATTTTTCAGGCATTCTTTTACTTCAGCCCATGTTGTAAAGAATCTTGGGATACACCACCCCCAAAAACTAGCTCAAATGGTGGGAGTGCCCAAGGCCTTATAAAGGCCACATTAGTTGCCCACATAATCAATCTGGGACTGCCCCCTCACGCAAAAGCCCTTTGGGTTAGAAGCGTGGAATTGCACAGGCCAATTTTTGGTTTACCTTTTTGTGCTTTTTTATTTTAATTCCACTTTAAAATGGGGGACGATGAGGATTGAACTTGTGACCTTATAATCACTCAAGCTCTGATACCATGTAAAGAACTTTGGGATACACCACCCCATTTTATTTTAATTCCACTTTAAAATGGGGGACGGTGAGGATTGAACTTGTGACCTTATAATCACTCAAGCTCTGATACCATGTAAAGAACCTTGGGATACATTACCCCAAAAGCTAGCTCAAAGGGTGGGAGTGCCCAAGGCCTTATAAAGGCTACATTAGTTGTCCACATAATCAATGTAGGACTATATATCTCAACACAACACATGTAAGAAAGAATAATATCTATGTCAATGGTTTAAAAAAGTAAGCTACTTATTAAAAAGATACGGACTAGTAAGGAACCTTCCTTTTTTGCATGAAATATGATGTCAATTAGAAGAAATTCAACGGCTGCAAACATTCTCTCTCTCTCTTTGTATGTTTTGACATAAATATGTGTGGCATTGCTTGTGCGTTTTGCATATTGTCCTGAAGTATACATAAAGATGCTCACCAGATCTGAATGAAGGGCTTGAGTATAGTTAGTCATAGCCTGAGAAACAAAATACTCATTTGTCATCTACAACAGTGTCCTTTTAATAGCCTCTGCAAGATCTAGAGTATCAGCTTCCAATGCCTCTGCATCCAGACCTGCAATATCTAATAATTCAGGAAATTTCACATCATGTGGTTATCATCCCTACTATGCTTACCGCTTCCAACAAATTTCCACCATTATGGACTGCAAGGCTAAATGCAACAACCACCAAGGGGTCCCTTGGTTGATCACTCAAAGTTTTGTCCAATGCTAGGATAGCAAACCTGAAAACAGATTCCTGATAAGTTTTCATCCTTTTAGGTCATTTAGCCATCGATTTATATCAAACCTATCATTAGGATCCATATGATAGTGAACTACCAAGCTCCTTTATGCTGCAAGCTCAACTAAAATTTGAACATCTGCACATCAAGAACCTTGCTATTTCAAAGGCACCAAGAACCTTGCTATTTCAAATAAGAAAGCAAGGAAATTAGAATGAAATTGCATTAGACAAAACACAAATAAAATATGAACATCTGCATATCACCATAAAGAATATAATGTTAGATGCAATATTCCAAAAGCTTTTGAATAAAGAATAAGACATACAACATCAAGTTGCAGTAGATTTCAAATTAGAGGCACTAAGTTGAACTGGTACTTATGCAGCAAAACTTGATCGAATTAATAACATAATGACCTCAAAAATAGATTAGAACTATAAAGCTCTTTGTACCTAAGATAACAGATCACCAATAATCACAATTATATGTCCAAACTAGTCTCAATCAACCAGGGCTAAATGTCAAGATTAAAATGGGTGCAGCATTTAATCGAATAAGTAGTGAGCATAGGCTAATGTTTAGTGAAAAAGAAAATAAAAATTTCCTTCACCAGCCCCAAACTCCAATCAAACCACAAGATGGCACAATTAATGCACCCAACAACAATGAATAAGATCATTGCCAACACAATACGCTACATAGATACATAAAATCTAAAAGCAAACAGAATTCTAGCAATGAAAATAAAAAGAAAAGATAAAATATGATGTTGATGTTATAGCAAGAAATTGTTTTCGAAGAAATAGACAAACCAAAGATAAATTCTCAATGTTTGTTCATGTATTTTAAGATGCGGTTGAGTTATGACTGTCTATTATCTTGTTTGACTGGTTGTGATATAATAGAAGGTCAAGAAAGACAATCACAAGTAGGATTAGAAGAGGTA